GGAAGAAATTATAGCAATTCTCTATAAGCTCTTCCAGAAGATAGAAGCAGAGGGAATACTTCCTAATTCATTCACTGAGGCCAGTATAACAAAACCAAAGACATTACAAGAAAACTACGGACCGATTTCTCTAATGAACATAAATGCAAAATCCTCAACATACTACAAATCAAATCTAACAATGTATAAAAAGAATTATACACCATAAGCAAGTGAGATTTATCTGAGGTATACGAACGAGGCTGCTTCAACAGTAGGTTAAAAAAGAAAAGTCAAACATGATCATATCAGTTGTGCAAATAAAGCACTTACCAAAATCCAACACACCCATGCATGATAAAAATTCCCAGCAAACTAGGAATAAAGGGAAACATCCTCAATTTGATAAGGAGAATCTATAAAAATCCTACAGCTGACATCATTCTCAATAGTAAGAAGCTCAAAGCTTTTTCCCTAAGATTAGGAATAAGTCAGAGATGTTCCTGCCTCAGAACTCTTTTCAATATTGTACTGGAACTCCTAATTAATGCAGTAAGGGGGCAAAAAGGAAGAAGAGTATAGATCGAGAAATAATAAAACTGCCTTTCTCAGTAGATGACATGAATATGCAGAAAATCCAAAAAATCAAGAAAAATACTCCTGGAACAAATAAGTGATTATTGCAAGGTTGTAGGGCACGAGGTTAATACACAAAAGTCAATCACTTTCCTATTTACCAGCAATTAAAAAGTAGGATTTGAAATTAAGAACACATTACCATTTACACTAACAGCCCCCAAATGAAATACTTAGGCATAAATTTAACAAAAGATGGACAAGATTATATGAGGAAAACTACAAAACTCTGATGAACAAAATGAAAGAACTAAATAATGTAGATATATTTCATATTTATGGATGGGGAGTCTCAATATTGTCAAGATGTCAGTTCTTCCCAACTTGATCTATAGATTCAGTGCAATCTCAATGCAAATCCCAACAAGTTATTTTGTGGATATCAACAAACTGAATCTAAAGTTTATATGAATAGACAAAGATACAGAATAGCCATCACAATATTGAAGGACAGTTAGAGGACTTCATCCTACCTGACTTCAAGACTTACTCTAAAGCTACGATAATCAAGACAGTGTGATATTGGGAAAAGAATAATAGATCAATGGAACAGAATAGACCGCCCAGAAACAGACTCTATAAATATAGTCAACTGATCTTTTACAAAAGGGCAAAGACAATATAATGAAGAAAAGTGTTTTCAATAACTGGTGTTGAACAACTAGATGTCTATGTGCCAAAAATGGATCTAGATCTAGACCTTACACCTTTCATAAAAATTAACTCAAAATCACACATCTAAATGAAAAATGCAAAACTATAAAACTCCTAGAGGGTAACACAGGAAAAAATGTAGATGACCTAGGATATGCTGATGACTTTAGATATAACATCAAAGGCAAGGCCCATGAAAGAAATAATTAATAAGTTGGACTTCATTAAAATTAAAATGTATGCTCTGAAAAATGCACTGTCAAGAGAATGAGAAGATAATCCAGAGTGAGAAAAAATTATTTGCAAAATACATACCTGACAAAAGGACTGTTATTTGAAATATACAAAGAACTCTTAAAAGTCAACAAGATGAACAATTGAATTAAAAAGCAGGCAATGAAGAGACACCACAGCAAAGAAGATTTATAGATGGCAAATAAGCATATGAAAGCATGTTCATCATCATTGTATGTCATTTTCTAATGACATTTAATTGCAAATTAAAACACCACTGCAGACCTATTAAAATGGCCAAAATCCAGAACACTGACAACACCAAATTCTGGCAAGTATGTGGAGCAACAGGAACTGTCATTCATTTCTGGTAGGAATGTAAAAGTGATGCAGCCACTTTGGAAGATAGTTTGGCAGTTTCTTATAAAACTAAACATACCCTTACCATATGATTCAGCAATTGTGTTCCTTGGTAGTTACCCAAATGAGCTGAAAACTTATGTGCACAAAAAAACCTATGTTGCATGTTTATGGCAGCTTTATTCATAATTGTCAAAACCTAGAAACAACCAAGATGTCCTTCCGTTGGTGAACGGATACATAAACTGTATTACATACAAACAATGGACTATTTTCAGTGCTAAAGAATCTACAGACATGGAGAAATGTAAACACATACTACTAAGTAAAAGAAGTCAATCTGAAAAGGCTACATACTGTATGACTCCAACTATATGATGTTCTGGAGGCTAAAAAGATCAGTGGTTGTGAGGTGTTGGCAGAGAGGTAGGAGTGGGGGAGAAATGAACATGTGGAACACAAAATTTTTAGGCCAGTGAAACAATTCTGTATGATACTACAACGGTGAATACACATCATCATACATTCGTCAAAACCTGTAGAATGTACAACACAAAGAGTGAACCTTAATGTAAACTCTGAATTTTGGGTGATAATGATATGTCAGTGTTGGTTCATGCTTCTCTGGGGCCAGAAGTTGATAGTGGAAGATACTGTATGGGTATAGGGCGGGGGCTTATGGGAACTCTGTACTTACTGCTTAATTTTTCTGGGAACCCGAAATTTTGCTGCTCTAAAAAATAAAGTTTTTTTAAAACAAAACAAAACAATTCTAGGAAAAAAAGGTAGAAATAGGAACATCCACTCTAAGATGTAAAGCATGTAAGAAATATTAATCCTACAAATAACACAAAATCCTAAAGCTAAATTATAAAGAGACTATATGGATAATACCCTACTCATTTTAAAAATACAATTATAATGAATGTTCCTACATAAGAAAAATCTTTCTATACTCATAAAAAGAATCACTTACTTGGAGTAATAGTTAATATAACAAAAAACAGGGGAACTGAATTATGTGGACAGGACTTTGAAATCTCTTACAGTATGAGCAGGTCTGTATTTTTTACATATCATTTACTGACCCGGCAGATTTCAACACTGAAAGAGTTGCATCAAACATAATAGTGTGTCAATGTCTGCAGTGTAGGGAGAATTCAGGCCAAGAAATTAGGAGTCATTATTTCTGGGTTGGAAAAATAAATTTTGGGGTGAAGAAATTCTCAAAGTTGTTGGGATGAAATAAGTTGTTTGCCTCTAAACTACTCACCTTTTGTAAAATATCTGAATAATGGCTATTTATGTCTCAAAACCACTTTTGAACAAAGTAAGAAGCTGAATACGTATGAGAATTCACCCTAGAACCTAAGCAAGGACTATATTGTCTCTTTTGGAGATAGTAAAGAGTGAGTCTGAAGTGAGCGAGCCTCTTATGGCAAAGACTGAATTCCTGCAAGTCTCTTCATGCCCCCCATCTACAAATGTAGATGACTTAGGTTGCTAATGACTTCAGATAGAACATCAAAAGCAAGGGCCACAAAAGAAATAATTAGTAAGTTGGACTTCATTAAAATTAAAATTTCTGCTCTGCAAAATACACTGTCAAGAGAATCAGAAGATAATCCAGAGTGAGAGAAATATTTGCAAAATACATATCTGACAAAGGGCTGTTATCTGAAATACACAAAGAACTCTTAAAACTCAACAATAAGATGAACAAAATGAAAGTCTCTAGGCATGGATTCTCTACATTCAGACTGAATTACATCAATTTCTGCATGCAAAAATCATCAGTCTTTCAGCAAAAAAAATGGTCTGCTACAAAACCAATGAGAAATAACCCCTTCTCCATAGACTCTGGACAAGTAAGAATGCCAAAGGACCCAGACGTTAATACTCCGGCACACACAACAATGACAAAGACACAGTTCCATATTTATTGAAAGAGTGTATCCATTGCTAGTGTGAAATGGCTGTAATATAATTTTAAAAAATAACTGACTATATTAGTTTACAGTATTTATATTAAAAAACCCTAAAACCCTAAATATTTCAAAGTTTATTTTGGTTACACAAGAAAAATGTATAATCCATGAAAAGAATAAAATTGCATTTGTGACAATACAGTGAGTTCAACCTTTACTGCTAATAAACAGAGACATTATATTTTCAGCACAAGGAATAAAAATCACATTCATGGTAATAAATGTCCCTTTTCCCAGTTTCAGAGTAAACCAGAGTAATGTGCTTGTCATTCTTTTCCACTGTTTTTAAATCTACTTATTTCCTTTAAAATCTAAACCTAGATAGCTGCGTTAATATTTAAATTTTTCTTAAATAAAATATTTTCACCTATAAGTTTTTTAAAATATATATTAAGCCTCTCCAAGGGAGGAAAAAAATACCACTCTTACTTTCAAATTCAGTCAGCACTGAAGGCCAGATCCTTCCATAATCTTTAGAACTTAAGGTGATAATTATTATCGCTAAGCAGCAAAATTTAAAAGCATATTTAAATTTATTGAAAATCATCATTTTTATGTGAAATCACATTCAGAGTTAAAAATGTATCCTACCTACTATAATCATTATGATGAATTCATTTAAAAAGCTATCTATAAACCATAATATTGATGATTCAAAAGAACTTTCTTTGAAAATGACCTGAAATCTTACCATATTTTTTTACCTAATTAAAAAAAAAAAGTTGATGATTGTTTTTATCTCTGCCTTGAATGTGTTCACAAATAAAACATTTTGAAAAATACCTTGGTCTGAAATCATACAGCACATGCAAATGAAAGTTTCATCCCAGAAATATATTTTAAAGACATAGCTTCTAATTGTGAAATATGATACTTTGAAATACATAAAAGAACTTACATAGATAGTCTAAGAGTAAAGAAGATGATAGAAGCGTTAATTAAAACCCTTGCAGTTAAATAGAGTGTATGCTTAGTTTCAGAGGGTGAAATACATACTATTAATCCATAGAAAACCAATTTTTCAGTGGACAAAGATATATCCTATCCCTATGAAAAGAAAATTTTTTAAATGTGCAAATATATTTCAGAAAGCATGCATCTGAATAAATCCTCATTTGGGGGTGGTAAAGAATAAAAAAACTCAAATACCCTGTTTGGATAGGCGGCACACTTCCAGTCTTCGCTCGTGAGAATGTCCATAGAGAAGGTATGCTTCTTGTAGTGCACTTTTATACCATTTCTTTTTCTTTGTACATGTTCCTAGCTAAAGAAACACAGAAAAATAATGACTCATTTCTAAATGTATAATTTTGTTTTAATATCTACTTGATTTAGGTATTGAGCTGAAATTAACCCGATTTAATAAGCATTGTAACATACATTATGTAGACTTTGGTATATAATTATTATTTCATTATTAGAGTATAGCAAAGTTGTGGGAATGTTGTACATTAAAAGACAAAGGGTTAGATTCTTGATTCACTAAGATAATATTTTAATATAATTCCTCTCACATTTAAAAAGTTACAAAAAGTTATGACCACCAATGTAACAAAGTGGTCAGTATTAATATATTTTGTTAGCATAATTTGATTCTCTTTTAAGTAACATAACAATGATACTGAAGTGGTATAAACTGAAAAGCCAAGTTTCTTATTGTAAGAAAATTACTTCCATTCACATCCAGTTTTGAGTTATGGCAAAAAAGTGACCTATTCATACAAGTTCCTTAAACTTTTGCCCCAATTTCTTCATTTCTAAAATGTGGATAACAGCATATACTAATCATAAAGTTTCAGAAGTATTAAATGAAATAATAGATGACAGTTTTCTGGCATAGCAAGCACTCAATCAATGTTATTCTACTTGAATTCAGTACTTTTTCTACATGTAATTTATTTTTACAGAAATTTTTAAAGAGAAAAAGAGTGAAAGAATCTCTAGGTTAAAAATGACTTTAAAAATTATCTGACCCACTAATTTTTCCATTGTTATTTTAGAACTTGACTAAAAAGTTTTTTTTTAAGATTTTATCTTTAAGTAATCTCCACACCCAATGTGGGTCTTGAATTTACAGTCTTGAGATCAAGAGTTACGTGCTCTACTGACTGAGCCAACTAAGCACCCAAGAATCTGCCTAAAAAACTTTTTATAATGTTTTTAAATGTTACAAATTATAAAATTCATACCACCATTTTCTTTTTTGGGAGTTTACCATAAAAAAAAGGTTTTTATTCTATTATTCCATATTTACCACTTACATATAATAATCATATCTTTATCTCAGATACATAATTTACTCCTTATACAGAAATGTAAATCTATATAACATATTTAATTCATTTAGAGAATGAAACTATCCATATATTTAAAGCTCTTCTCAAACTCCACCTTATTCTTGGAGTCCCCAAATTAATATCAACTATCTGTTCCTGTTACACTTAATATTTTCATTTAATCATTCACTACATTCTGAGTTGTATTATAGTTATTTGTATTCATGACTGCCCCTACCCATAAAATGAAAAGTCCCTGAAGACAGAGGCAATAAATAATATTTCATCTTTCTATCCTCCATAGTACCCATTTGCCTAATCTCACTGCATATTATGTAAGCATTCCGAAAGTGCTTGTTAAATTGCATGTTGTTCTAGACAATGATTTATTTTATAAAAAGGAGTCAAAGAATATAATCAAAAACCTACTTTTTTTTTCAAAAACCTACTTTTGTGCACAAAATATTTAAATTTCATTCATTAGTTTCATAGAAAAAGAGTTAGGCAGATACAATTTAATAGACATTAGAAAATTTAAACTAAGAATATCTAACTTAGTATCTGCATGTTTAAGATATTTCTGCAGCTCTAATGTTATGGTGCTAAATAAGAAATCAGTGAAAAATAGCTTAGAAGCTGATATGGCACTAAACAATTGATGTTAAGAAAATTTCTTGAGAAAAATCAATACTATAGATAGCTAAAGTAAACTTCGGTGAGTTTGGGGAACCAAAAAGCTTTTTTAAAAACTTGTGTCTCAGATTCTTTAAGAATTTACCAGGAAGTATGTGCCATCTAGTGGTAGTACAATCAAACATCTTCAAAGAAACAAAAAATTAAGACTAATTTATAAAGAATTTTGAATTCCACAATTAGGCTCAACTATGCACTGTATTTTCCAACTAAAGTGGTGTGTACACACCCTGAAGGCTGGAATGTGCCGCCATATCCATCGCTGGTATTGTTTCTCCCAAAGGTACCCATTATTACCAGTTTCTTTCACAGTCTTTCAAAGCTACTGTATGGATCTACAAACATTTATGTTATTTGTATGAATATATCTAATTTTACAGAGTGTTGTGAACAGTTACATATACTTTGAGTTTTTCAATTTTTCTTGCAGATTGTTTCGTTTATTGATTGACTTGACATATTCTAAACCCTTGGGATCTACCACTGAAGAAGGTAGATAAAGCTTACCTTCATTCTAGCTAGTGAAACAGACAATCTACAATAAGCATAACAAATAAATAAAACCTACAGTATGTTTTTTTTTTAATTTTTTTTTCAACGTTTATTTATTTTTGGGACAGAGAGAGACAGAGCATGAACGGGGGAGGGGCAGAGAGAGAGGGAGACACAGAATCGGAAACAGGCTCCAGGCTCTGAGCCGTCAGCCCAGAACCTGACGCGGGGCTCGAACTCACGGACCGCGAGATCGTGACCTGGCTGAAGTCGGACGCTCAACCGACTGCGCCACCCAGGCGCCCCAACCTACAGTATGTTAATAGGAGGTTACAAGTTCTATGTAATAAAGAAAAGTTAAGGCAAAAAAGTAGGGTAACTCTCATTGAAAAGGTGACATCTGCAAAGACGTGAAAGAGGACAGGGAGTTAACCACGTAGATATTCCAAAAAAGAGAACTCCAAGCAGAGAAAAAAAAATACTCTAAGGTGGGAGGATACAAGTATATTCAAGAAGCATCGAAGAAACCAAGGTGGCTGAGGCTAAATGAAGAAGGAGAGTAACAGGTAATGAGATCACAAAATTAACAGGGGCCAGATCATGGAGGTCCTTTCAGGCCATTGCAGGGATCCTGCCTTTTATTCTAAAATGGGACCCATTCCATAGTTCTGAGCAGAAAAATAACATTTGATTTGATTCAGTGTTTTAAAACATTATGATTTTTTATACTATTTATTTATTTATTTAATATCCAAATTAGTTAGCATATAGTGCAACAATGATTTCAGGAATAGATTCCTTAATGCCCCTTACTCATTTAGCACATCCCCCCTCCCAAAACCCCTCTAGCAACGCTCTGTTTGTTCTCCATATTGAAGAGTCTCTTATGTTTTGTCCCCCTCCCTGTTTTTATATTATTTTTGCTTCCCTTCCCTGATGTTCATCTGTTTTGTATCTTAACATCCTCATAGGAGTGAAGTCATATGATATTTGTCTTTTTCTGACTAATTTTGCTTAGCATAATACCCTCTAGTTCCATCCATGTAGTTGCAAATGGCAAGATTTCATTCTTTTTGATTGCTGAGTAATACCCCATTGTATGTATACCACATCTTCTTTACCCATTCATCCATCGATGGACATGTGGGCTCTTCCATACTTTGGCTACTGTTGATAGTGCTGCTATAAACATTGGGGTGCATGTGCCCCTTTGAAACAGCATATCTGTATCCCTTGGATAAATACCTAGTAGTGCAATTGCTGGGTTGTAGGGTAGTTCTATTTTCAATTTTTCGAAGAAGCTCCAAACTGTTTTCCAGAGTGGCTGCACCAGCTTGGATTCCCACCAGCAGTGCAAAAGAGTTCCTCTGTCTCTGCATCCTTGCCAACATCTGTTGTTGTCTGGGTTGTTAATGTTAATGTAAGTGTGAGGTGGTATCTCATTGTGGTTTTGATTTGTATTTCCCTGGTGATGAGTGATGTTGAGCATTTTTTCATGTGTCGGTTGACCATCTGGATGTCTTCTTTGGAGAAGTGTCTATTCATGTCTTTTGCCCATTTCTTCACTGGATTATTTGTTTTTTGGGTGTTGAGTTTGATAAGTTCTTTATAGATTTTGGATACTAATCCTTTATCTGGTATGTCATTTGCAAATATCTTCTCCCATTCCGTCAGTTGCCTTTGTTTTGCTGATTGTTTTCTTTGTTGTGCAGAGCTTTTTATTTTGATGAGGGCCCAGTAGTTCATGTTTGCTTTTGTTTTCCTTGCCTCTGGAGACCTGTTGAGTAACAAGTTGCTTCAGCCAAGGTCAAAGAGTTTTTCCTGCTTTCTCCTTGAGGATTTGATGGCTTCCTGTCTTATGTTTAGGTCTTTCATCCATTATGAGTTTATTTTTGTGTAAGGTATAAGAAAGTGGTCCAGGTTCATTTTTCTGCATGTTGCTGTCCAGTTTTCCCAGCACCACTTGCTGAAGAGACGGTCTTTATCCCATTGGATTTTCTTTCCTGCTTTGTCAAAGATTAGTTGGCCATATGTTTGTGGGTCCATTTCTGGGTTCTCTATTGTTACATTGATCTGAGTGTCTGTTTTTGTGCCAGTACCATACTGTCTTGATGATTACAGCTTTGTAATACAGCTTGAAGTCCGGGATTGTGATGCCTCCTGCTTTGGTTTTCTTTTTCAAGATTGCTTTGGCTATTTGGGGTCTTTTCTGGTTCCATACACATTTTAGGATTGTTTGTTTTAGCTCTGTGAAGAATGCTGGTGTTATTTTTATAGGCATTGCATTGAAAATGCAGATTGCTTTGGGTAGTATTGATATTTTAACACTATTTGTTCTTCCTCTCCAGGAGCATAGGATATTTTCCCATTTTTTTGTGTCTTCTTTAATTTCTTTCATAAGCTTTCTATAGTTTTCAGTGTATAGATTTTTCACCTCTTTGGTTAGATTTATTCCTAGGTATTTTATGATTTTTGGTGTCATTCTCATTGTTTTGACCAAAATAAACTATACAAAGGCATGTAGATATAAGATTACCAGTAATAACCTAGGCAAGAAATGATGGTGGTATAGACCAGGATAGTGGCAGCCATTGTGGTGAAAAGTGGTAGGATTCTGGACATAATTTGAAGTTACAGCAAAATAAATTTCTTGACCAACTGAAAATTGGGTGTGAGAGAAGCAGAAGATGACCCTAAGTCTTTTCGACTGAACTAGCAGAAGGATGAACTTTGCTGTCAAGTGAGAAGAAGGCTGTCAAGGAAGTGAGATTCTGGGGGGGGTGAGGGGGAAGATCAAGAGTTC